ACTCTAGATGCAAATGCACGACGAAATATGGCATTAAATTCTGTCTCCAATCCACCAATGCCATATCTTCAAATTTAAAATCGGACTGTATAATAGTCGTGCTGAAAAAATGAACAAATATGTATTAGGTTAACTATTGTTATTTTTTAAACTAGAATGACGACAAGCACAATCATTCTTTTTATAATACTTACTTTTCGTTGATTTCGTTGATTCCCAAATATCCTCGGTTTTTCTTCTTTTATTTGATTGCTTGAACATTTTAAAAAAATAAAAAATGAGAAATTTTTGTTCTGATCGGCATAAGCACGCGCACGACTAATTATTACGTGTGTATTGGTTGTACGAAGAATGCTATTTTTGTTGACGCGATTGAATTTTTTTTATCTTTTTACAAGACGAGGGAACGTGAATGTTGTGGTTTGGCATGTATGGTTCTTCTAAAGAAGATAGGGTGTTGTTTATTCACAACGAAAAGTACATAATTTTTTATTTTGTGTATTTAATTTTTTTGATTGTTTTATAATAAATGTATTGATGATGTATTGCCTTTTATTTTATATAAATGTATATTGTTGAAATCAAACGCGGAGCGGAGCTTGCCATGTCTCTTTAGGTATTATTATAGACAATTCTTGTGATAATAAACTATTGGCATCGTTTTGCTTCTCATATAATCATTATTAACACTAATATTAAATCATATTAAGGTGTCAAGGCAACACAATTGTTACAGAAGAACAATTCAATATGGAATAATTTGACATGTAACAATTCGATATGTAATGTTTGATTATCAGAAAATTACAAGCGTTGAAGTCATATGCTACTTTGACACTACACAGTCATTCTCACACATTCCTTGAGTACACAAGGCTAATCTGACCGTGACTCTCCGATGGTACGGTGCACGCCACTATAACCCATGAAATGCTGTGCATAATGTTTCTAATTCACAAAAAAATAAAAAATTTTGAATTTTTTTTTATTACTTTCATTACAAATTTGATGTTAAAAAAATTTGAGGTAACATGACACGATTAAAGATGTCGATCAAAAATAAAAATATTATTAGTTTAATTCAATTTCCATCCATCACATTGTCTGGATTCCTTTTATGTGACTTATATTTTTTTACAATATATTCGGCCTGTGGTATTGTTAATCCTTTTCTGTAACAATCCATAAATTTTGAGGCTCTCATCACATACTTTTTAATTTTGTTTCAGTGATATAGAATCAAAAGCATTGGGACATTCTCTTAAGGACTTTTCCATGTGTAATTATAATGTTGTCTAACATAGCATTTAGCAGCCCCCAAATACATTTCAACGTAGTTAATCTCACAGTAAAACTTTGGATAGAAGATGACTTTATGTCCTCTTTCTTCAATTAATTCTTGAAGTAAGGGTTTTTGGTTTTTAAAACCATCTTGGGTTGCTAAAATATGTCTAGCACAACAAGTCAAAGGTCCTTCAAGAGAAACTTCAAACAAAAAATTTTGAATGAGATTATTTTATATTCATAAATTTCAATGCAATTATTATTATCAAGATTATTGACTAAAAAAAAAAAAACGCGTGAAATTTTTTTATTTTAATTTTATGGATGAATTATATCGCGTGATTTACCAGAATTAAAAAATATATTTTATGCGTGACTTAAGGTGGGCCAAAATTACACGTTTCAAATTTGGAAAATTTTATATATAACATATAAAAATTAGATGATTCTCAAAAGCTTATAACTCCTGAACCAATAATTATTTTTTAATTGTCTTGATGATAGATTGTAGAACTAGCCAAAAGCTATCAAATATCATCTCAATAATTTTTTGATAAGCACACAATATTTTCTTTTTAGGTTTTAAATTGGTCAATTTTTATTTGATGGGTTATTGTGGCATGTACTATACAATGAATGCAACTAAATTTTTAGGGGGAGTGTATGGCCCTGAAATTTATCAAGAGACTGCATCATGTCAAGGACATCTTACCTAATATTCCCTCACAGCACCCAAGCTGGCATTACCCAGATGAGCATGTTGGCTGAAAAGTTGTCTTCAGGCACTGTAAAATAGTAAATTATAAATCATGGAAATGATTTACAAAAAGTTACACGCAAATAAAATCGGAAAAACTGATCAAGTGATCAAAACAGTTCAATTTATTCAAACACCAATAAAATAATTGACTCACGGAAATATTGGAAATATGAATATTCCAACATTCTAAATGTAACGAATTACAAAGTCTCAGAATAACATTTAAACGAAAGAATTTTACATGACTCATGTTGACTAGAAATTACTTGAAAATAAATCTACATGGAAGGTTTAAATAATGATTAAAGAATACATTAATTAGTATAATTTAGGATTTTAAAGAAATCGGAGAACTAGATGATAGAACCTCTAAAATGTATAAATACGTTGTAAATTTCTCTTTCATGTAATTATTAGTTTATTAGTTTATTAGTTTATTAGTTTTTATTAGTTTTTTTAGTAAACTCAAATATTATTATAAATAAACCTTGACCTTGTCCTTGACCTTGACCTTGTCCTTGACCTTGTCCTTGACCTTGTCCTTGACCTTGACCTTGTCCTTGTCCTTGTTAACTTCGAACATTATATTTTCGTAATGATAATAAATCTATCCCTAACGACGAATTTATACTAATCCCGTGCATAATTATTTTCTCTTATTTTATATTTGTCTCTATTAATTTTATTATTATTTATTTCTTTTCTTTTCTTTTCTTTTAGTGCTTTTAGTGAGAGACGTGCCGGCTCAGGCAGATAACAAAGAACTGCTGAGAAAACGTTACCGGAAGGGAAGTAAGGAAACTTGCCCTGTAAATAATTAAATAGCTTGAGCACTATAGTAAAAGATAGTTTTGAGAGTAAAGCATAAATATACATTCGCGGAAATTGTTATTATGATTTTAGTATAAATAAATAGGAAAATTGTATCGGCATGTCATCATAAATAAAAATCCAAGAGATTTGTGTGAGACGCGGAATTTTGTGATCTCACAGCACCAACTTTATTCTTAGGGGTGGCAACAATATAATGTAATAATTGCACAGCATCAACTCTTGTCAATAATCAATGCTGTATGGTAACAGCCAAGCCTGGTCTGAGGGGAAGTGAAGGAAATTTTTGCCAACTTTATAAAAACCATCAAACTTGTTCAATCTGCCCCTACTTGTGGAAAAAATTCCATGGTGCGATTGCATTTGCTTGTATGTTTGTGATAGGAAAGTTTTTATTAAATCTGACACCTGTAATCAATGTCATCAGATTTATTATTTAAGGAAATTTAGAATGGCGAAGGGAAAAAAATATTTTTTCCAAAGATTTGAATAGACACATTATTGTTTTGAAATCAGTCCCCGAAAAGATTTTATTCCTGCATGATCTTTGGTATGATTTATTACTTAAATGATGCAATTGTTTGTTATGTCAATGACAACACTAAATGTATTGAATAAAGCATCACAAATATTTAATAGATGCAGGTATTCACATAGAAAGAAATGATTAAATAAAAACAAAAAAGATGTTTTTTTATCCAACCAAGATATATAATTATTTATATTCAAAAAATAATTATTTTATTCCATTAGCCCTAATAAATCATTGGTTTCTTTAGCATTAGTGATCAAATCAATGACACAAGTGATAGTCAATTTAAGTGGTATTTTTTAAAAAGTCTTAATTGAATTAATATTATTCAAATAATTATCTTTTATTATTTTTCCAATCTAGAATAATTTCTTTTTATTCATTTGTTTATCTGTTTTAGAATGATTATTAAACCTCAAGTCTCAATATTCTTATAATTTACTTACATTTTTAGTAATTATAAATAATTCTTCCAAAAATAGTTGATCTATCTGTTCATCTGTTTAGTGTGATTAGTAAATATTAAGTCATGAAACTAGTTGAGGGATTTTTATTTTCTCTTTTATATCAATTATTTGAAGATCCACGCCTGCAGGACCAATTAATCTCTTCAATTTTAAAATAAATAAAAACCTACAAAGTGAACATAAAATAACATATAGGGTTATAGGTATATGAAAAGTAATAATAACCAAATTAACAAACATAATGGTTCTAATGAATATAAAAGAGCAATTTATTTTTTAGAAAAAGGTTGTGTTTGTGGTTGCTCTTCAAAAATTTCAAAGAAAGAATTTGCAGAATTAAAGAAATCTTTTAAAGCTTTTCTAAATCCGAACAAGACGTATTTTTAATGGCCCAATTTAAGGCAATTAATGGTGGCTCAATAAGAATACTTTATCACATCCTGGGTGATTGCATTTGCAATCTTTTATTACAATATATGTCTTAGCAAATAACCATTTGTAGAAAATTTTTTAGTGCATCCTGGATATTCACATTTGAAGTCTTTTATTTTGAAATGACATTTTGTATGTGTTAACAAATTAATTTAGCATGGAATTCTTTGGTATGCCCTGGATATTCGCACTTGTATTGTTTTTAGCTATGAATGATATCATGCTTTCTAAATGTATCCCTTGACCCTAACATTCTGTCACAACCTGGAAAAGTGCAAACAAATCTCCATTATTTCGAAGTGATTTTTGATCTAGCATCATTGGATCTTCTTCATCTTCATCTTCACCAAAGTCACTGTCTTCATTACTATTGCCTTCATCTTCAAACATCACTGTCTTCATCATCAATTTCTCTACCATGGTCATTATTATATTTATCACTAATTTCATTCAACATTCTAACAATGTTTCATTTTTTAACAAATAAAATAAGAAATGCAAAATTGAGTTTTTATTTAATTAGTTAATAAATTATGAGTTTTATTTTTGAAAACTTTTATTATTTTATCCATTGAATAAAAAATGTTTGAAAAAAAAAATTCTATAGAAATAATTGGAACATGATGGAGAATTTCTTGATTTAGAATAATTTATGCAAATCAAATCAAAATAAAATAATAATAAATTTTTTAATATGACAAGTATAGCAAAAAGATTGATAAGAAAATCTAAACCACAATTGCCAATTTACAAAGATGCTAAAGGTCACAAAACTCTTTTAGAATTAATTAATGTTTATCCAGATTATGGAGTTGGCCTAAACGTGGTTTGTATTATTGGCCTTCTTGTTATGAACAAATAAATAAATGAAATAATGATGATTTCTTTTATTGTTTTTCATTCGGGATATATAGATTCCGATCAGATTGATACAAAAAGGAAACTTAAATACTTATTTTAAAATTACAAGGGTCAAATTAAAGGTTTTTTTCTTTTTTTTTTGAATTTAAATTGCATAAATTTTTTAATTATTTTAAATTCTAAATTTTGTTTCTTGTATTTTAATTAATTTAAAGGATATCTCGCATGGTTCTGTAAATGGTATAAAATATTGGAAAGGTGAAGCAAAAAAATAGAAAGATGAGAACTTTATATGAATATCTTTGTTTGTTTATTTCTTTATTTCTTGCGATAAAATATCAATTGAATGATTTAATTTCTCTTTAAAAAGGTAAAAAAGAAAAAGAAGAAGGAATTCCTTGGAGATATAGTAACAATTGGTACATATGGCCTTATCAGGGTGAAAGAGATGACAAGTGGGCTTAATCAATGAATAAACAACAAGAAAAGATATTTATTCGGTTAAAATAAATGAAATAAAAAAATATGTTTAATTAATTAAAGAAACTTTACAAAGTAATTTTTTTCTTGCCTTCCAAAAGCGATTTTTATAGCCAACGTCTTTACCATAAAGAAAATCTATACCTCCTATTATCTATCTAACAATCTATCAATACCACTCTCATCAATACGATTAATATGGGCTATTTTGCTATTATGTCATTAAAGTATGACAAACTAATAGTGTAACCTTATAATTTATATAAATAATTGAAATTTAATTAATACTCGTTGTATTTATCTTTTTTTCAACAAAAAAATGTCGAATTTTTTTTTATCACCATCATCATCAACAACAACAGAATATTCATCATTGCCACCGCTTGAGCCAACAGTATCTCAATTAAGAGATCTTGATGTTGACAGTTTAAATCATGAAAAAAGTAGATTGGAAAATTCAATATTTCACTTGACAAGATCAATTAACGAATTAGAATCTTTTATTAATGATCAAAATTCCAGTGATAATAATTTTGAATTTGAATTGGCTATTAAAGAAAACGAAGAAGTTATCACAAAGTATTTTATTTATTAGAATAATGATCATTAAAATTATGAATATATATTTTATTAAATAATTAAATAATAATATATCTTCTGAATATAAAGGTATCATGATAAAATTAATATTATAGAAAAAATACTGTTAGAAAAAAAACAAAATGGTGCTAATTGTATACCAATAGAAACTTCTGATTCATTTGTAAATAATCAACTTCAAGATTTTAATAACATTACAACTCCCACATCTAATACTAATACTAATACTAATACTAATACTAATACTACAACTGAATCATCATCTGTTACGAACCAATCACTAATGATGAATTGTGCCAATGGTGAAAATAGTCAAGATCAAGGAATGGATACAGGTGAAGAAGATGGTGTTTATTTGTAAAAAAAAATTTTTTTGTTATTTATATTATTATAAAATAACATTATACTGTAATATAATGTTTAAAAAATATGCACATATGTAATTGTTGAATCTAGTTTGCAGTAATTTTCACTTGAAAAGTATTTATATATAATAATAAAGACTGAAAAAATAATTTTCATTACATTAAATAAAAATAAAAATATTCAAGATGGAAGGCACTTCAATTGATGAAAATTCAGATGAAAGAAAAGAAGAATATGGCGAATGCACAACTTGTAATAGGTATAATACTTGGTTTATACGACATCAATGTAATCTACAATTATTAGCTCTAGGATAAGCTAGTGATAATGATACATTAGATGAAATAATTAAAAGCTCATAACTTAAAACTAGACATTATTATAATAATTGGATTTATCTTTGATGGATTCCTTACGAAGATCTGAAAGTTATTGAAAAGATAGGTGAAGGTAGCTTTGAAATCATATACAATGGTGCAAAATATGTAAATTATGAAAGTAATAAAAGATGTCGTGATGATGTTTTCATTGCATTAAAAGGATTACTTAGTTCCCTAAATGAGGTAAAATAAATTTTATTTAATATTATTTTTTTAATCATTTATTATTGCTGACGTTTTATTATTTTTTTTTTAGTTTAAAATTGTGTTACATTTCATGGTAAATCTAACATAGTTAAATCTATAGATTAACTACAATAGGATATATACTTGTAATTGAATATGGAAGTTCTCCAAAATAAATCCACCATAATCAACAAAATATCATTCATAAAGATCTTCATGGTGGGTAATTATCCTGAGATTAATGTAAATTCAGCGGATAAAGCATTATCAAATAAAAATGATATATTTAATTGATGGAGTTCAGTACACAAATTCTGATTATATTGGTAAACTTAGGAAATGAACAATAATTACATTTTATTTTAAATATATTTTTTTTTATTTTATATTTTTTAAAAAAATAATGAATTACATTTATTACAAATTGCAAATTAATAGTTGTATAAATTATATTAATTAATTAATTGTAATGATAATAATAATAAATTTATTTAAATTTGAGTATCATCAGAATTTATGTAGGTATCATCATCAGTATCATCAGTAATTATTATCAGTATCACTATTCATGATAATATCATTATTATTATTACTACTATTATTACTACTATTACTATTGTTACTATTGTTATTATTATAATAATGATGGTAATGGTACATATTATTACAATTAAAATAAGATTGGTGGTTGTCGTTGATTATTGATAACTTTGTTGTAGTTGTAGTTGTAGTTGTAGTTGTAGTTGTAGTTGTAGTTGTAGTTGTTGTAGTTGTAGTATTTGTAGTTGTTGTAAATACTTAGTTGTTGTTGTCTTAAGTATACTAATAAATGTGGGTTGCTAAACCGACGACGAAAGCAAAGTTTTGTTTTAATAGTATCGATTTATATATTTTGCCGTTAAGCTTGATAAGAGACTTTGAATTTTCGCAAGCAGGATGGATATTATAATATTCAAAATACGTTGGTACTGTAATAATACTTGTTTATATCGAGGTATGGTCTTCGCGATATAGACTTGATTACCGTCTTCTATTTTGATTTTTTGTTTTGAACGCGAAAATCACGTGAGTGATCTTATGCAAATACGGTGCCAGCCGAGCCAATCACAATTATTCTTGAACGTCGTCAATCATTACAGTAGAAATTTTATTATTGTTGTTGTCATGTCAGTAGTAAAAGTAGTTAATGACAAAAGTAAGTAACCCAAAAGTTAAGTCATATGTGTTAAACCACACCATTTAATAAGAATTAAAAAGTTTATTATTAAAAGAATAAAATAAGAATAAAATAAAAAAATAATTAATTATAATGAATAAATTTATAGTAGGGATTAAATAAATCAATTCATTCTTTTACTATTATCATTAGGATCGAATGTTTTATTAATCAATTAATGTAAATAAAAATATTGTTATTAATTAATAATGAAATTTTATCCACCTTCAACATTTAAGAGAAGAGAGTTGTTGAAATCAAGGTCGCGCTATCATTACTTATATAACCTTTTAAGCTTTTTGATTTAGCAATCTCTTCATCTAATATTCTACTTGTATGGTAATTATCTAGATGTTATTTGCGTACTTGTTGTGAAATGCTACCATTACCACTAATAATATAATTACGCAGTAATTTTAAAATGATGCAGATCATCAAAGTTTTACAATCTTCTCCCCATTGATGATATATCTGGACGTATTTATTTATTGATAATTATAAGTTTCCATTTAAAAAAATACCTATATGAGGCAGACAACAACGAAACCAAACAAATGAACAAGTATTTTTAGTCACAATTGTACCATATATAATTGTGATACAGGCATATAGCGGTTAATTGGTTAAATTAATTTATTAAAAATTGTGTATTATGCATATTTAATTTTATGTATGTTTTGATCACCACGCTTGGATTAAGCATCTGGTAACCACTGTATCAATAGATCAAAGAAAATTCATTTGAAGATGATTTAAATTCCTAGTCATTTAAACACATACTTTATTGTTATCTAGGATCTCAATTTTATAGCATCCACCTCCAAGAAAATACTTCTATTAAACCTTTGTTTTATAATTTTCAGAGAAATACACCACAACTATGACAATCGGTAAACTAGATTGTGAATATGATTCTAAAAACAAAATAACGTTAGTAAATTTCAAACATTTTGTGTTTGAGTTCGCATGAAAAACTTTACTTTCTGAAGTCAAATCATTACATTATAGAATTTTTATTCAGGACCTTTATAATCCAACTGGCGAAGAATTCTAGAGATGTATTTAAGTGGTTACTCGTATATTAACTCTAACCCTGTTGTACCCAAAACTTTTAGTAGTGTTCGAAATTCTCTTGATTGTTAAAAAAACATTCCTTGCATATCATTATTTATATCATTCTCTTCGAGAAAGAAATTCTTATTGTGTAACTCTCTTATCAGTTTGTTCGATTTCAATTACAACGTTTAATGGAGTCCCGTCTTCTCTATTTTTTTTTCTTTCTGTTAACTCTAACAGGATTGAACCTTTTATTATGATTACCAAGAATCTTTTTTATCTGTGTTATCCAGTATTCCTTCAATCATTCCTGAAATATGCCTACACCCCAGTTTTGGACTTCTCAGATGAGTGGCTTGTAAAATTTTCTGGAAGTTGTATAAATGCAGTAGTAGGTATAACAAGTCTCGCGAGATGAAAACTATGAACCGCAGTATTTTATAAGTGAGACATGCAGTCGTAACAAATTGGTAAGACACACTCTCATCTTTTTTTGTTTCATTTAAATGATTATTATTAATTTTTTTATACCCTAATTTGTAAAATTTTCTGTTTTACGAAAAGGGTTTAATTATTTTTTCAACGAGAAGGTAGATCGGTTCCTATTACTATTTTCTTTCAATGGCGCGTGATTAATTATTATTACTTTGTTTGAAAACAAATTCAATAAACCTCTTGTAGAGTATATTTCAAGTGGCGAGAGTGTTTGTACGTATTAGGGTAGACGACGATAGTTTCATTGAAATAAATAATGTTCACTGTTGATGGTTTAACATTGGATCGGGTCTATTCTTGAGAAATTTTATTTTTATAGATGTTGGGTATTTGGATGTAAAATCTGATTGGCTAATTTTAAATGTCTACTCTCAATAATTTTTTTGAATAAATACAAATAAATGTCATAGATAAAGAGATTAAATCTTATGATCTCTCTGCGTTAATATATTAAAAAAACTGTCATTACGTAACACGTTGCATATGCAAATGAATAACCAAACAAACTTGTTAATATTGGCATATTTGAACGCGAGCTATATGAGGCCAGTGTTGAAAATTCGGTGCGGGGAATGCGGGGTGTAACATTACACACCAATCAACCTTTTAATTTTTGGAGATAGTTTCTAAATTTGTACTGGTTACACAACGAAATTTCAACACTGTATGAGGCCAATTTTAGAATAATCATCATAATCTATATTTTTCGCATATTAGTAATATGAAAGAATCCTTGACAACCATTTGTCAATTAATTCGCCCTTGATACTAATTATTATTCATTAATAGCAGATTCAATATAAACGTTACACGAATAAAATTTTTAGAGTCAGGACTTTTAAAAACAATTAGAAGAAAAGGCTAGCTTAAATATTGGTTATTTTACGTCAGGTCAGAAGTGTTTCTTTTCTTCACACTTATTTTAAGATTATCGCTCAATTAGTATGCAGACTAAAGCAAATTCAGCAGCAATAGTTGTGCCAAAGTGTTTACTACAAAGTCGCTTATAACCACTTGGAAGAAAAATTTTGCTTTTAATTATAAGGGACTGATTTATAGTTATTTATAAGGTTATTAGTTTTTAAAATTACATGGACAAAATTTCAAAATAATAATATTATTAGCACACTATAATAGAAATGCTTAAAAGTTAAGTAACCTATTACTATTTAAATGGAAATTACACCATAAGAATAATGAATCTAACGATTTTATTTTCAATGAATAGGAAAACTATCATTACAATTATAAAATTTTTCAAAAGGTAATAGTAATATAATTAATAAAAATTCCATTTTAATTAGATTCAAAGGCTGTGCTCATAACCAGAAACTGTGTGCGTAACTAGAAAATCTTTCACTTCTATATAGGCGGATTTGATGGAATTGAAGTATTAAACAAGATTCTAAGCTTACAAAGCAATTTGTAAAATATACTTGATAAATTATTCAACAGTTATATAGATGGGTTTGATGGAATCAAAGTATTAAAGACAAGATCTATGAAACAATACACTGAAAGGTAGATTTTTATTTATATTTATATATATATATATATTATATATGTATGTATATAAATAAAAAAAAAATTGCTCGTGTAATAATAATCATAAATAAATTTTTCTTTTCTTTTAACTTATAGAAAAGCAGCCTCAGGGATATGTCACACGACTAGTATATAATTTTTTCCGGGAAATTTCCGTATACTTATAATAATCATTTCGTAGCAATAAAAATTATAATTCATACGGAATTTCCGTATGCAAATTTTCTATATTAATATTAATATAATAGGGATTAAATATTTTTGCGCAACATGTCTGGATAGGTTTGATCTTTTTACATAGTTCTTTCGGCTGTGATTTTTAGATATTCCATTTGAATTCCCTGACAAATTAGAACAGCAATCATCTTGTTGCAGATTTCCATCCAGAATATTCAGGATACTTTGTTGAGTCTTTACAACTTCTGGAGTTGCTTAACCCATGTGAATCATCCTATGTTTACATTTAGGTGATAGAAAAACTGTATAAATTACAAGAACCATTATTGGAGATCCAGTATCAATAGTGTTAAGACAAGAAAGAGAAACCTCAGAAAGCAATCAATGCTGAGAATGTGTTTCATATTAGCCATCTTAATGAGAGAGGACATTTTAATGAAAGAAACAGCATTGTAATAGGGAATATCATCACAATGAGAACCAAAAAAATATTATTATGTTGGTCAGCTACCTTCCACATCATAGGGCCACATGCAATTCTTCCTGATCATTGGGCGGAGCTGCTTCAATTATTTTCTTTGTTGGAAAGCATCTACCATTATAGATAATTGATAAAATTAATGACAAGATTAAAATTCTGATGCCTTGATCCATCTATTATTGTTTTATTTTTTATTTATTAAATAATTTAATTAATCATTAAACAATGGTTTTCAAATAATTTGATAGTAATAGTTTAATATTAATCAATAAATGTAGATTCCGAATGACATAACTAAACAAATAATAGTGTCCTGGATAATATTTATAAAATAAAATATTGGTTAACTCTGCAGTTCAATTAATTGAAGAAATAAATATTTTACATACATTTCTAAAAGTTTCAAATGCTACATTATCGGTGTCAGTGTCCCATACACAACCCATTTCAACCCTTATTTTATAATTAACATTGGAAAAGAAATTTTTAATTTAATTTGATTAACTAATTAATTGATTAATTAATTTTGGATCTTGTATTCTTATTTTTCTATTCTTACCTTGCACCTTCTTTTTTATTTTCCATGATTATAACATTTATTACATATTTATATTTTCGTAAATCCATTTCTATAAAATTATTTTATAAAATTATTTATTATTATTTGGGAAGCTAATATCGGTATATATATGTAATATTTAACTACAAAGGTTCACCTAATAATCTTTTTTTAATTTCTTGGGATATTTCATGTGCCCAACCAGGAGCTTGATCCTTATTATAAAGTGCATTATTTAATCGTTCTTGAACAACTGATTGTATAATTTGTTTTGCCACAGGAGCTCTAAACCTATAAATAAGAAGATAAAAAAATTATATTGAATGTAATCTATCAATTAAATTAATCCAAAAACCATGAGAGATACTTTTGTTTAAAGCTTGGTCTTAGAGCAAAGGCACCATCATCAGACTCTGAATCTTTATGTTCATACTCCATACTAATCGGTCTAGACATATTGGAATCCATCCCATCTGCGGATTTATCATTATCATTACCACCATTAGTAATAATACTTTGATTGGAATTTTCTTTTGATAACGTTTCCATTTTTTTTATTTTGAAAAATAAATTTAAACATATTTAGTAAAAAATCATTTTTTTATATCAAGCGCTGGGACTGTAGATCATTTTAGACATATTAATATAAATATGTAAATTCACATGATGCAAAAAAATTTTCTGGTGTAAACACAATTGTCCATAAAGAAAATGCCGCTTTACTGTATTAATTTTTGGATTTAATATACCAGAATTTCCATACGAGTACAGTAAATGGGTCAACCGTCTGATGGTTCATGCATTTGATAAACAATTTATAATTTAGTTTGCACCGTGTTTAATCTTACACCTGTGTTTGATGAATACTAAAGGTTATTATGAAAATGTCACATTAAAAAAATCAATAAAATGCTTACTTTTACAAGTAAATTATTTTACAAATTATTGATTAGATGTTTCCATTGACAAAAATTAGATCTACCAAAAAATCAATGAAATGAAAGGCTGAACAGGACTCTGGTTTTCATTTCACAAGTTATCCGGAGAGAAAAATGAGTTTGTTCTTCTACTATGAAAACCAAACTTGGGAAAAACAATATTAAAGAATAATGAGATGATAATGATAAAGACAATGATAAAAGAGATGATAAAGAAGATGAAGATGAAAATATTAATAGTATTATTGGGTTAAATGCAGTATATATTTGTGTCAGAGTGACTAAAAGCAAGTAATATTCACAAATGGCTTTGGCTCCGAGTATTTCTCTTGTGTTTTTTAATTTCCCATTTGTTGTTTAATCATATATTATATCATAAACTACAAATGTATACTAAGATAATACAGAGATGAATCTTTTAAGGAACCTATTTTTTTCTCCATTAGAACATTTTCCTATGGGTGAAAAGAAAAGTCCTTTCCTCAATCACTCCTTCCCTAACTGATTACCATTATTAAAAGAATTAACTGGTTATTACGATGTAGAAATTAATGTCAGAATAGATGAGAATGTTAACAATATTTTAAAAACAGATCTTTCTGTTTTTAAAACTTCTTTATTAGATAATTGGACAAAGGAATATATCTGATAACAGTGCTATTTCTTTGTATTTTTGATGTAAAATTGGTTTATTGGAAAAAGATGATAATAAAAAATCTACCATACAAATTCAAATTGGGGCCTGAGACCCAAAACTCTCGATTTAGGTTTAAATTTAGGAACTCAAGATGAATTCTATAGATCAATTTCCTTAATAAATGTTTATGGATTAAGAAAACTATTGTCATCTTTAAAATTTTAAAGAGGCACAAGAATTGGTTGGCAGCTATAACCTGGTATGTTGGAAGATATTAAAATTGATAAAAACTAAATGGACAAAAATCTCCAACATTTGATAAAAGTTATGATCATGGGGTTAAAGCCTACCTACCATTAATTATAAGAATATTTATTATTAAAAGATTATAAAATATACAGGATTACCTTGCCAATATTATCACATTAACAATAAAATTCAATTAATAAAACATAAAAAATAAGAAAGTTTCAACATTGTTAAATTTTGTAATTCTCTGCAGGATGAGGTTGGACGATGTTGAGTCAATTGACATATCCTTTGAGGGTGCCAAATCTAGAACTTGGACCAACAAAGTATTATTCATTAATTAACATACTTTGCTTATAGTTATTGGAAAATAAATAATATAATATAAAATTAATATTTATCTCTAACTTATCCAAATATTACCTAAGGGTTGAGGAATAGTGTGCATATTCTTTAATTGGAAAAAATAAAAATATTTTCTTTAACATTCATAGTTGCTCTTTTTACTTTTTCAATGCTTATATGCTTTTTCCATTTAATAATATCAGCAAATGATTACTCAGATATCAATATTCATTCTCATTTTATAGTTTTGTTGAGAGAATATTCTTTCTACTTGAACATTATAACCAGTGTTATTTTAAGAATAAATGTTAATATTAAGAAAAATCTTCCATAATTGAATAAAATCCATTTCTTCATTATTATTTCTATAAGATTAAAAATAATATTTTACTAAATACCACTCTTGCTTAAGTGTGAATATTCAAAATACATAAATATTTTGAATATTAATTATTATTCAAGTGATAATAATTATGAATATTCAAAGTACCACTTTTATTTTGATCAGAATCTTAGATGGACATGTGATCCTTTTTTTATTTTATTGTGTCTACATTGCAAAACAAGACAATGCTTAAGAAGAATCCTTATCACTCACAAAAATAAAAAATAAAAACAGATAATTGATCCTGCAATTACTAACAATTCAGAAAATCAATATTTTTAGATGGAAACCTTGAAAAAAAACAACCCTTACACTTCTCTTCAATATTGAACACAGATGTTATTAAAGATGGCTCCTCAATTAATTGCAGCATATAAAATTGACAGAACATTGTAAGGAAAAGCCTAATACTATTCTACAACGAGAGGAGAGGATTTGAAAAGCAAATTATATAAAGTTAGGAGATCAAACAGGTTTTATCTTTCTCTTCTTAAGATAAATACTGTTGTTTTTTTTTTAAAACAATATAAATGGTTTTCTTTTATAGGTTATATTAAAGAAGGCCTTACAAAAAGACGAAGGGTTTGTTAATTAAAGAACTTGAGGAAGCTACATGTAAACTTGATAAGTTGGACGCAGCAATCAATTGTTTAAAATACTCGATAATATAAATAAATGACTAACTTATTGAGTTTACATGTGTACGCCACCAAGTGATTGAATGTTTTTATTTGTTATATTATGATTATTTAACAATTGATATATATATAGTAAAACAAAGGTGAATTATTTACTGTATCATAGACAGTGTATTTTATTCGTCCCATTTATTTAGGAGTTGGTAGGGAAGAAAGAATAATACATCAATATTCACAAAGACTTTTAATAAGATATGTTAGACCAGAAATTACATTTGTTTTTTATCTCTCGCGTTTACTCCATCAACAATCGCTTTGTCGACAATCATTTCATCGGTACACATTTCGTTGACAGTTCATTTTGTCTGACAAGCACTTCACTGATCGTTAGTTTACACGTGATGATGGTGATGATATTGTCACTGACTATTTTGATTATAATAATTTGATGATAATTATTGTTTTAATAATGTGAATAGAACAAATTGACAATATGCTAATGAATAGTATTGAGATTTCGTTTGAATCAAAGCTCATGAAGTATTTCAAGATGCATGGAATTCAGTCATTAATATGTTTACAAACTAATTAGTATCCGATTTTCTTTTTCCTGATGCTTCTGAAATCATGATTTCCTAGATTCAATCAGGATTAACAACAACTAAACAAATTATATTAATAATCAATGCGTATGTTACATATGTTGTATATTGCGCTAAAATCATATGCGATTCATTACATCTTAAATGAATCATACATGCGGAAATGAAAATTATTTGTTGAAATAAGATGTAACAATTGGTTGTATTTAATTTTTCATTATCTAATAATTTTCACTTTTTTAAATGTTTTAAATGCTTATAATCTATTTCTAAATCACCTTGTTGAAGAAAATTAAAGGCTGTCTCGAAAGCAATTATAGGCATAGTGTTACTATTAAATTATTAACATCATTTTTGAAATTCTTCAACTATATTTCTTGAATTTTCAATTTCATTATTAAATATTTCATTTTCCAAAGGGAGAATTGCAGTTTCCCTCCAACTATTATTATCAGGTAATTTGGACATTTATGTCACGTGAATCTACTGTGAGGAGGATAGTAACCATATAGAAGACCCCCACCAAAAATCCGTTATGACAAACGTTTATAATATTAATATTAATATTAATAAAAAAAGGGGCCAGTACTTAATCCGTTGTAACAAAAAATTCGCTGTGGTGAGGTCCGCTGTGACAAGGTTTGACTGTAATAATAATCATATATAAAAAAAATTAGTAAATGATGGTTAAACGGTTAACGGTGCCAACCCCTAGTTTTGATCTGGCAAGAGTTTCATTATAATGCAATGATAACAATGCCACCTATTTCAGTAAATAAAAAAGAACGAAAAAAGAAAAGAATAGTAATAAATTTAGCTCAATGCTCACTCTTCAAAAAGAAATATCCAATCGTTTAGGGACCCTATTCACAATTTAATTTCTAAAAACAACCACATTAAATTTACCCACCCATTTAGGAAGGAAAATTTTTTAAAACCTTTTGATTTTTGACTTGGGAAAAAAATTAATTATGGACATTCTGTAATAATATTTGATATACAATTTCAACATTATCTCAAAAGTAGTTTTTAATTGGAAGACTTTCTTTTTTCTTGTTATATCAAATATAGACGTGATAAAAAAAATTGGTTTTTTTTTTATAATTTTTTATTTTATTTGTTAAATTTGTTAAAACTCTATTTATTTTAACTGTAGAAATAATGTAAAATAATAAAATTTTAATTTGTTAATAATAATGGTAAATAGTTAATAGAATAAAGCAAAATAAAAATATTAATGATATATTATTATATTATATACAAAAATAAATATTTGTTATGGTGGATATTTTCTCCAATCACGTGGAATATGCTTCAGGTTAGAAGCAGAACAACCACGTAAAGCCTTTACGGATGATTTTAAACGTTGTTGCCTTTCATTTAATAAACAACAACGAATAAATTCCAAGATGATAACATCATTAGCAAATACCATTTGAAGATTGTTGTTGTTGATGAACTGTCGAAGAAAATTCTTCTGATCCCCAATCATAGTCCAAAAAGCTATCGAAAAGGTCAACAAGGCTTGTTTCAGTATTAGTTGAAATAATAGGATCTGACAATTCTGTTGTTGTTGGTTGTATGGCAAATGGATTTGTGATGATGTCCCGTAAAGGTTCCTGAACTTGACGTGCCGCTGCAGGGACTTCTTGGAAACATTAATTTCTTGATGATATTGATTAAAATAATCATTATAATCATTATTATTATTGCTTTTTTTTACTTCTTCTTCTTTATTATTATCGTCATTATTAAAAGAATCTGAAGTTTCCAAGGCCGCGGATACTGCTGATCCGCGAACACCGTCAAGTAGGACTTTGTTCATCTCGGAAACGGAAAGTTGCGATTGAATTTCAGCAAGCTGCCCTAAAATCGTATCTAATTTAGCTGATAAAATTGAATTTTCCTCTTCTACAATTTTTAATCTTTTTGATAAATGTACATTTTCTTCTTTAAGAACTGTATTCTGTGACTCTAAATCAGTCATTTGTTTTCTTTTTTTATCCCTTGACATTTGTGCTGCATGTCGATTTCGAAGTATTCTATAATTGAATGAGTTATTTGTTATTTATTGGAAAGATTATTTTGTGATTAATCGATAAATGAAGAATGATAATATCATCATACCTTTCACGTTGTCTTTGTTCTTTTTCTTCTATACTTTCAGCTTTTCTCTTTCGACCGCCAGTAGTTTTCTTTTTAGCTTCTTCAACTACTGATGATGATGAAAATGAAATTTGACTGGCAGAAGTTAAATTATTGGAAGAGTTTGATGTGAGTTTTGTGTCCGGAATAATGTTTTTAGTAAATGTTGGTTGAATTGGTTTTAAGGTGGAGGAGGCTGAAGAAAGTATTTTGGAAGTTAAAGGAGCAAAGCATTCATTATTTGTCATGATAGGAGACGAAATTGCAGAAGAGGAAGAAGAAAATATTTCCGAGGTCACCAAGTCTTCATTCCAATTTGAGTAATCATTGTTGTGAGACATAGGACTCTCGTAACCGTTAGTATCATTGAAATGTTGATTTGGTGAAGACATGGTGACTTATTGTAATTTTTAATAATGCAGTTTGGGCCAGTTCTAACAAAAAGAAATATTATAAAATATTATTTAAAAAAAAATGAGAATAAGTTTTCTATTTTCTAAAAAAAGTTTAAATATTTATTTTATGAATTAAAAAAATGTGTTCAATTTTAATTGGATAGACTTTATCTTGATATATATATATATTAATATATACTCTGTCACAATAAAGTTTTAGTGCCAATCTATGATATTTTTAAAAAATGTTTTCATCCAAAAGGATTAATCATCCTGTAGCAAAAAAAGAATCATGCGTAAAGGCGATTTATTATCTTCCTACATAGAAAGTATTCATATTATCCTATGGCACAAAAAGGATAATGAAACTTTGTGTAAAGGCGTTGATTTTAGTAATTCAGTTCCTAACCGAGCATTACGAATATTAATATATTTAAATTCATTTCGTAATTATTTTAGAAGCTCATAATCATTATTATCATGGATACTCGTAATAGTATTCATTGTTACCGTGGTACTCATAATTGTTTTTATTTAATATTGTAATAATTACGAGCAAATAGGAACAGGGGTTACAGTGTTAAAAGGAACCCTAGCTTCGATTCACGTATCACGAATAATCATTGCCAATATCGATTAATCACAAAAAAAAAAAAAATCTATAAATTTTAACGTATAGCAAAAAGTGTTCATTACTATTTTACTATTACTGTTTATCTTTTACCCATGTCTAATACTAAACCAATAACAAATATAACTGACAAATTTATCCCAGTCGTTAACGCTGAAGTAAAAGAAGTAAAAGAGGAGGAGGCAGTTGTGGTAGAAGAAGAAGAAGAAGAAGATCCAAAAATTGAGATAGATGAAGGTAAAAAGTTTTTTTTCATAAATTAAAAAAAAAAAATTTTTTTTCCAATTATATAATTATTATCATCATACAATAGCGTGTGGCGAAACACCTTCTTGTAAACCTTTAAAACATCATTTAGAAGAATGTAGTAAACGAGTTGAAACAGGAGGAACAGATGAAAATTGTAATTATTTGAGGCAATTAATATGTTATGATGACATGATAAGAGAAAAAATTCTTATTATCATCATCATCATTATTATTAATATACTGTGAATAAAAATTTTATAAATATTTTTTTTTGATGATTTTTTTAGGTGTTGAAGAACTTCTACATTTCTTGCATTGTGTTGATCATTGTGTAAGTATCATTCATCGTTAATTAAAGTGTTTTATTGTTTGGTTCATTATTAATAACATACCAATTAAAAATTTTTTGATTGATTAGTCTGCACCCAAGCTTTTTGCTAAATTAAAATAATTAAATTATAAATAAATTTTTATTTTTGGATAATAAGGAGAAAAAGGGAAATTAATGAGAAAATAATTAATTAAATAATAATAATAATTTTTTTTTTGGAAAAAAGTTTAATAAAGTATAACAAAAATTACAATTGATTTTTTATCTTATTTATTCATTTAATTTATTTATTTAATGGAAATATTAAAAATGATTAGAAAATTTACAACTTTTTTTGTTAAATAAATAAATAAATATATATATAAGTGACTTGATTTGAAGATGGATGGATGGATGGATTAGGATTGATTTATATATTATTTTAATTGCCAGAAAAGCCATGATTGAAATATTAAAACCTTATATAACAGTACATTTAATTGGAGATTTAAGTGATTGAATTGGGTTAATTGAATCAATGAATTGTTAATATAATAAAACTTGCATTTAAAGTCAACAAACAAGTAAACCAACGATGAATTTTACCACAACTATTAATTATGAATAGAGCTTAAAAATAAAGAATATTTGAATTTTGTTGTAAATAAATAAATTGTGTACATAAACATAAAAAATAATTTAAATCATTAAATTATTAAATGAAGTTTTAATGAGAATATTTTGATTTAATATAAATAAAATAAATAAATAAATTCTGTACATGAAAGCTATATAATCATAATTTTGATAATTGAAATAAATAAATAAATATATCAATATACAGATATATGTATATTATATCTTAAAAAAGAAATCTATAATTTTATTATTGTTATTATTAATTACAAATAAAAATCTATTATTAAAAAAAAAAACAAAATTAATTGGGAAGTTTTAAAATTGAAGAAAATTCAAAAAAAAATTATTAAATATACACAAGTTTTTTTTTTAATATTAATAAAATAAAAATTAATTAATTTATTAACTACTTTTGTTTGATTGTTAATTGTCCTTATCATTATGATTATCTTTCGCACCATTCTTCCCGTCCTTCTCTTGAATTTCTTTTAAACACGTTGGGGGAAGATGTTTATGTTCTTGTGTCAAGGTACGTTTCCGTGACGAAGGCTCTGACGATGACTTTGTAGATTTTGATGACTCCAATTCTGATTCTGGTTCTGGTTCATCAAACTCGGAACATGACTCTATAGTCTTGAACCAAGCATCATTTTTTATCTCTTCAATTCTTATACGTAGTTTGGTATCAGGTTCAAGAATGCGAAACATTAAATCCCGACAGCCACGTGGCAGTCTTTCGAATGGTTCATACAATCCCAAATTTTTGGTTTCTAAATAGTTTGCATAGTTTGGATCTGCTGGTGTTGCCATCCTAAATGGAATGCCTTGATATATCATACAATAATAGACTATCCCACATGCCCATATATCTACTAATCTTGCATCATATTCTTTAGTTTCAAATTGTTCCTATAAATATTTTGGGGAAGAAGCAAGATAAATTTTAATTAATAAATTAATTTTTATTCAATTTAGTTAATACTCAATATATAATTGATATAAACTTACAGGAGCAATGTAAGGTTCTGACCCGCATAAGCCCTTTGAAAAGTGGACTTCTTCTTCCCAGCATGTTCTAAAAACATCTGATACACCAAAATCAGTGATTTTTAGGTGACCATTCTTATCCAATAATAAATTTTCAGGCTTTATATCTCTGTAAAAATAGATTATGTATATAGTTGTGAGTATAAATTATTTTTACATCATATAGATATTTATTGAATATATATTTAATTAAAAAAAAAAATTCTTTAAAAGTTTTAATTACCTGTGAGCAACACCCATTGAATGAAGGTAACTGATACCCATTATAAGTTGTTTGAAACAACAATTTATTTCTACCGAAGTCATATGGCTTGCTTTTATTGCACTGTATAAATCACCGCCAGCACAATATTCCTATTGAAAGGAATAGAAAGAAAGAATGGGAGGAAGAAAGAGATAATGAATTTATGTACTTTACAATTATTGATTATTCTTTTCCCAAAAGATGCAATATATAACTATGTATGTGAGAAAGATATTTACCATCACTTCACACCAATTATGATTGTCATCTTGAAGAAAATCAACAGTTTTAACAATGTTAACATGATGTAAAGTAGAACTTATACAGAATTCGCTTGTAAGTTTCTTTACATAGTCTTTTTCTGATTCATTCTTTCTTTTCTTTCTAAATTCCTATATTGGTGTAAAAGCAATATAATAATATAATTATAATTATTAGTAACTTATTTATAATAACAATATTTTATAATATTTGCTTGCACATAATTACCTTTACAGCGTAAGTTCTCTCACACTCTGAATTATCAAATTTATGATGAAGTCGAACAACAGCAGTAGCACCTTTTCCAATACAACTTTTATCACAAACACCATATTTCTTCAATAATAAAGACTCGCATTCAGCACTTTTACTATAATTGTCATTGCCACCACTGACACTACTATCACTTCTAACCATTGCAATACCAATATCACTATTACTATGATAAGAATGGATATCGTTGTGATTGTTGGTATTATTTGAATCACCACCAAGTTTTGGATGGAGGATTCCCTTAAAAATTGAAACATTATCGTGTGAATTTTTGAAATTGAATTCCTCCAGTTCCTCTTTAGGTGATAATTGTATGTTGACTTTTGAATCGTGAATAAATAATTTTTGAACACTTTGAACCAAATTCTTTTTTTTATGTTCTGTATGTCCATTAGTGTGATCATTATTGTTGGGGACGATCTCTATACTGCTGCAAATTGAGTGTTCATCAGCTTTATTATCATGGAAATGATTAATGTAAGATCCAACTTCAGTGCAGGGGGTAGAAGGAGAAGAGGAGGCGGAAGAAGAAGAAGAATAAGAAGAAGTTTGGGTGGCAGTAGGAATTGAACTGATATTTTTTGGCGAAGTTCCTGCTGAACCTCTAGAAGAAATTATAACAGGTTTGTTATGTTGAAAGGGTGTTTGAATCGGATTGATTGCATTAACAACCGGTAAACTATTATTTCTTCTTGGATTATTATTGTGATAAGGATAATTAAAAGATTGAGATGTTGTTGAGGTGATTGAAGTTGAATTTGAAGCGACTGTTGATCTTGATAAGTTCTTTTTCATTGCCTGTACAGCTCTTCCTTCTAAATCAGTCATACGACGACGAGCTTTACTATCGAGAGCAGGAGCCCAATAATCTGTAGCAAAAGTTACCATGTTGAAAAATAGAAGATTGTGGTGTTGTTGTATATAATCTATATATAAATGTATAAAAAATTTACAAATTGGTTCTATTTTTTTTTTAATTTTATCAAATGAAAAACGAAAATGAAAGTACGAATTATAAATTAATTATAATTAGATGAAAGTAATCTTTTTGATAATATTTAAAAATATGAAGATGGGGTTCCGAAGACAATTAATTAATTGATTATTTATATAAAATATTTTATTTGTTTGTGATAGATGTAAAATATATTAAATAAATAAATAATTTGTGAAAATTATTTTTTTGATGATAATAAAAATTCAGATTTTTATATTTAAAAAAATTAAAATACAATTTAAAAAAATTTTTGAAACATAATAATATATTATTATTATTATAAAAATAGCTTATAATTGTTGATTGATTGTCTATTTTTATAGCGTGAAACAACAAAAATAAATGTGGCCGAATTGTAACAGAATTATTAATTGGATTGGTCCGGGTTGAATTTTATTCTTGAAAATTAACTTAGATTTGAGGAAGAATTCGGAAATATTATATATATATATATTAATATATTAACATGTTCATGATGATGTAATATGAAATTTTTTTATCAAGAGAGAAAAATGAAAATTTTTTTTTTAATTGAAAAGAAAGTTCATTATTATTATTGTAAATGTTTATAATTGTGGAGGACCTTTGATAATGAATATGAGTACGGAATAACATGTAAATAAATATAAACAAGATTTTCCAAATTAAACTGTCATATGAGATGCTAACTGTTAGGAGAGAGGCTTTTCAATTTTTGATATCAAGATAAAATAAAAAAAAAATTATTGTAATAAATTAATTTGGGAATCTGTCACCAAATATTCGTGTAATTGATTTAAAGACAAGTCTTATTTTTTTCTAATAATATTTGTACAAAAAAATTTTTTCGTGTCACATGGTTTTAAAATAAGATAATTAATTAGTTAGTTTAATTTAATAAAAGCAAGAAATTTTTGTTAAAATGACTTTTATAGGAAGAAAAAGAGCAGAAGAAATTTATTTGTAATTCATTATCTTGGCAATAATCAACTTTACATGCATGCATGCATGCATATATTCATACTTACAGTATATATATTTAAACTGTTATCTAATTGATCATTTATTTATTAAATAATAAAAAAAAACATGGAGAGGAAAGATTGTCTCATTTATTTGTATGAATAAATATTGTATAAATAAACATAATAAAATTGATAAAAATAATCAAATAAAATAATTTATGGTAAATCGCCTTATCAATCGTGAAAATATCAAATTTGGTCTAGCAAATTTCGGCCAAAAAAAAAACGATCCTCGGAACTAACCGAGATTAATATTATAGCAAGCAAGTAGATAGCTATTATAGGTCATCAGATAGATCATTTATCTTATCTACATCTACATATAAATCATATAAATCATGAGAGAATTTTCCTTGTCGAGTTAATCGAAATTACAACACGAGATCAGGTGAATAGATTATTGGTTTCTAAAAGGGCAAAAGATCGCCGATTTTCGGGTTGGACGAGTATTTGAAATTCATTTAAAAAGTATCCTTATTCCTCCTGGCCTTACGAATTATTATTGTATCATAATTAATAATTTTAAGCATCTGATCGACTGATTAATACTTTCTAGAAGAAACAAATAATCAATATTTACTAAAATCTTCCTAATTAACCAATAAACCAATCAAAAATAGCTCTTATAATATCATTCACTTTAATTTTGGTCAGAAGACTTGTCATTTAATTAAAAAAACATGCAATACGACAAGTTTTTTTTTTAATTAATTGTAAAATGTAAAATGTAAAAATTTATCTCTCTTTACATGTGTTTCAATATGTCATTCCCAATTTGTTATCAGATTATTTTGTGTCTTGTCAAATATAATATATATAAAAAAAAAACAACATTTAATTATTCTCATTTTATTATGTGTGTCCGTCCTCCTGACCAATTAACTTGAATCTTTTATCAATTAATCAATCAATCAATAAATCGATTGTTGCCATATAATTGTTGTCGATAATTTAATTCGTTGAAAAATTTTTAAATGAATATATTATGAAGTTAATTAATCTGCGTTAAGCTTGGTGAATAAATTAATAAATTTTGGCTAGTTATCCAGTGAAAGAAATTGTAATTTCTATTTAATTTTAATTAAACAATAAAATTCATTATGTCCAAAATGCCCAAAAAAAAAATCTTGATTACATAATTTAAAATTACATGTAGGAAACACGCAAATGTCTGCTGAATTCATTTTTCTCTAGAATCCAACTTTTAAAGGCTAGACAGACATATTCATGGAACGACGATAATGAAAAGCTAAATTTATCCATCGCTGATGATCTCAAATTTTCAAATGTCAAATTTCTAGTCAAATTAATTAAAGAGAATTGCTATTTCTCACTGGTGGTGATTGTCACCACCTAAGGAATTAAATTTGCGTGGGGCGGAGTTAGGGTTGGGGTTAATCATAAATTGTATAATTCCTTAGGTGGTGACAATCACCACCGGTGAGAAATAGCAATTCCCTTAATTAAATATATATTCTTTTTTTTTTAAATCTTTCGATAGAATATAATGGCTGTTAGGCAATTCGCAGATAAATAAAATCATCTGTTAAAAGAATTTTTACTGCATACAGAAAAAAAAGTTCGCTTCCTAAAGATTGGAATAACAATAGTTTGGATGGGTCATTAGTTAGATGAGTAATCACGCTGATAAAGAAGTCAATCAATATTTATTTATCTAGTGGATGAATTGATGGAAGTAAAGAAATATATCTTTTCAGAGCTCTTGTCATGTGCAAATAATATTATTTATTTTAAATGAGATTAGAGTATAATAAATTATTTGAGAAACAATGTTAATAGAAATGCAAAAATGACTCGTCTATATAATGTGAAAAAAAATTAGAACTTCTAATAATTGTTAATATTTGAATTGTTAGTAGTAAAAACTATTTAAACAACCACACAAAGGAGGATACAATCCCAGATTTAGTATATAATTTATTTAATAATAAAACTAGCAATGGAATCAAGAGGATAAAAATCATTATCTTTCTATTATAAGAAGCTTGACAAAAGCAAAAATTGCTAAAAAAAGGTTAATTTAAATATTAAAAAACTTTATTTGCCTAGTGAAAGTGAAAATAAATATGCTTTTGATATACTGTTTATGATATTGACTAACTTGTGTTTTTTCTTTGGTTTCTCTTTTTATCATTGCTGTCATTTGTGCTAAGCTTATCAATATGTATGTTTATACTTGATTTATAATCTCAATCAACTTGTATAGTCAGAATACTTACATCTGAATGAACATATGGTATATTGGCTAACTTGCTCTTCTTCTTCATCTTAATCCTGTTGCCTTTTGCATTCCAATGAAATCTCTTGTGCAGTCTTTCCAAGAGAATTTACATAAGTGATAATATGGTTGAACAAATTGTTCATTTTATGCACTCTACTCTTGATGTATATTTGGGTCAAGGAGTGACCACTCTTTTTCCACCACTTTCAGATGCTGGCAAAGACACTGTGTCATTTACAAGTGTGATTGTTATGAACATATCAAAAATAATATCATTCTTTCAGACATGTATCACTGGGAATCTAGACATTGACATGACTTTATGATGTGCATTTTATTGAAGAGCTTTCATTTTCTGATGAATTTTGGAACACTCACATAATTTATTATTCCCAATACAATAAAAAAATGATAAAGGTGCTGCTGTTGATGTGAAATAGTCACAACAAATCTTGAATATGTTTTATGGAGCATCATTATTGATAATACCTCGTGATTTTGAAGTTAGCAAATTTATTTTGGTATTAACACCATAGGAGATGTGTATAAAGCAAGTGCACAAATCTGGCACTTGAATTATACATTCCAGTCCCAAACTGCAACAGTGCTATCAATAAGAATGATTTTTGTGAAATCTTGAAATTGCATGTAATGATATTCCCAGAGCAATCTTTGAATCCACATTGTCAAACACACAGATAGAAATTGATTGTGTTTACTTACTAAAGAAAGACAATGAATTTGGTCATAAACTGGTTCAAGGATTTTAAGAAGCAATGATCTATAGTGAAAAAAGAAGAGTATAATACAGCGAGTGGCATAGATGGTGTCAAGCCCTAGTCAAAAGAAGATTCAAAGATTGGACCAAAAATACCTCAACAAGATCAACATCAACATTCACATCAACACCCACATTTAATGCATCCTCAACAACAACCTGGAATGCAACATTCTTCACAATCACAACAATCACAACAACAGCAACAGCAGCAACAACAACAACAACAACAACAATTATATGGTTACTCTCCTCAGAATGCTCCTGTGAAACAGTACTTGTTGCTTTTTTTGGATATTGAATTGGCTAGCACTAATCAGGATCTGTTATATCAATGTGAAGAGCAAATGCTTTTTATTATTATTTAAAGTATGTCATTAGAAAAAAAAATATTTAAGAAATTGGTTATTATATATGTAAACTTGAATAAAATATTATTCTCAATTCAAAAGGCTTGTGTTGCGTCTCTACAAAAACTTTTTCACAGAATCTTCCAGTAAAGAGTGTGTTTCCATATCTTCTTACATGGAAAATATACAATGCATGAAAAATGTCCATAGTTTTTAGAAAATAAAACAGAAATTTCATATGGAAAAGTGGCATGATAATAATAAATACAGAAAACATATAAAAGCACACATGTAATTTCTGTTTTCTGTGTATTTTATGAAAACTAAGGGACATTTTCTGTATCTTAGCAAAAGCTTCAGACATTGGGGTGTTAGATATTAGTATAGTCACAAACATAGGGGAAATCAAATAATAAAATCAAATATGGTGTGAATCATCTAAAGACATCACGTGCTGAGCCACTTGCCAAAAATTTTAATGCTGATCTTGCTTTATAAAGAATCCAATATATAAAATAAATCCAAATTTGTAAAAGATCTGTGACTTTGTCACGTGAATAATTGGTAAATAATCTGTAAATTGCAGTTTAGATATATAGTTGCCGAAATTTCAAATAAAATAGCAAAGTTACCCAACTTTAAACCATTATAACTTTTTTTTTAATTAAATAACTCAAAAAAAACTTTCTATTACATTATTTTTCATGTCTAGAATATTGCAAAAATAGAGAGTTTTTGGTAAAATAGCCCATATTTAATAAAGTATCAGCACTTAAAGATTGGCAACATTTGATGATGTTTTTAGATGATTGCCACTATAGTAAAGATTTTTGCCAATCATTTTTATAATTAAGAAAAATCACCTTTACAGAAATTTTTATAACTCAACATACAGATGGGGTTTTCCAATTCTGAAAAGTGTTCTGTATTCCCAAAATATGTGTTTACAACCTAACAATGCTATTTTTTGCAAATACTTGTAACATCAGGAAATTAATTTAGCATAAACTTGCATAAATCTTACAATGCCGACGTAATATTGTGTAAATCTTACAGTGCCGATGTAAGTTTTACACTTTTTTATTATTAAACTTACAATTGACACGTGTAAAATTTTTTTATATTTTCCGGATGAACATTGATGTGCTTGCATATTACTAAATGTAATTTTTGTCAAAATTCTAGATGTTTATTAACACAATTTCTAAAAATTTATTGTAAACA